TTATATGCGAGCGCTTTCGATAGCTGGTCGTGCTGTCATCATCTAGGCTCTAGGCTCTTAATAGAGCCTAGACAGCACGACCAGCTGTCGAAAGCGCTCACATATAATTATATAAGAGTTATAAAGCTTCAAATCCTTAGCCCAGACAAAGCGTTTTCGGTGGGTTAGACTTGTGTCTATATTTTTTGGTTACGTCGCAAATATGTTTCTTTGAGCTATTCAAATTCATTTCTAATAAATCCACCCAAAAGTACAATACTACAATAGAATAATTTTTCTGAACAGAGTCGATGGGATTCTAAAAAATGTATTAATAATTCAAATGCAGGCCGGTAAACTTCAAGAGAAAAATAAATGAACAGATATACCGACTTCCTCAGCAACTTCTCCGATAATGATTCGAAGAATCTCCAAAACAATTTCGTTCACTTTCTCAACATTTTCATCGGTTGTTGATGTGCTGGGGCGTCCAGGGCGAGCGTCGTCATTCACATCTTCTCGGCCTTCTGTGAAAAGCTTGTACCACTTGTAAAAAATTTTCTGAGTAGAGTACAATCGCCGTATGCCACTCTCAACAGTTCAAGTGGTTTTTTAGGAACCCAATTTAATTTTTTCTGACTCAGAGTACAATCGCCGTATGCCGCCGTCAACAGTTCAAGTGTTTTTGAGCACTTAATTCCATTTTTTACACAACATTTGATGCACATTTTTTGATCCATATTTTCGAAAGCAGAAAATCGCCGAACACGCAAATTTTATGCCTCTCACCAACAAACTAAATATGCCAAACAGCGGAAACTGTCAACATACTCATGATGCACTGTTTGGAACCTTTGGTGTAGTAATGAATATTACTGGAGTTTTTTCCCAACACCAAATCGTTATTTTCAAAACCTCGACACGTGTCTCGCCTCTACTATATATTTTCAAAAAAACAATGCAGAGTGGAATTTTTCCTGCCAAATGGAAAATTTCGCATGTCGCACCAATCTACAAGAGCGGCGACAGACACAATGTAAAGAATTATAGGCCGGTCAGTAAATTATGTGTATTTGGCAAACTTTTTGAAAAAATAATATATAATAACATCCTTGATACGGTCAAGGACATCATAATCAGTGAATAGCATGGTTTCTTCCCCCATAGGTCGATAGAAACTAATTTAATAGGATTCACCGATTTTTTGTTAAACTTTATGGAAAAACAGGTTCAGGTTGATGTTGTGTACACCGACTTTCAGTAAGGCCTTTGATAAGATTAGTCACAAAATTGTATTAAAGAGACTAGCTGAAGTCAGTGTGAATGACTTTTTATTGAGATGGATATGGTCCTATTTGAATAACAGGTCACAAATGGTGGCCATAAATGGATTTACGGTATCCTCCGGAGTTCATCAAGGCAGCCATTTGGGTCCTTTATTCTTCATTATATTCATCAACGAAATCTCTAGTTGCTTTAATAAGTGTAAATTTTTACTATACGCCGATGACTTGAAAATCTATCACACAGTAAAGGATTCATATGACAGCGGAGAAATTCAGGAGGATTTGAAGCGGCTCAAGAAATTCTGTGATGATAATGATTTGTTGTTCAGTCCACAAAAATGCGTGTCAATCTCATTCTCCAGAAACAAAAATATAATCAGAAATAATTATTACTTTGAAAATCACGAACTGAAATCAGTTTCAGAAGTTAAAGACTTGGGAATAATTATGGACTCGAAGTTGTCATTTAATTCACATATAAAAAAAACCGTCAATAAATGTAATAGTATAATTGGATTCCTCAAAAGGAACTGTCAAAACATCAGAACGGCAAAACCTCTCCTCAATTTATATTATTCATATGTACATAGTAGGCTCTGCTTTGCGTCGGTTGTTTGGAATTCTCAGTACCACATAAACATAGATCGTATTGAGAGAGTCCAAAACAAATTTTTTCGCTACATTAGACACAAATTAAATTTTCCAATTACGAATAGCAATTACAGTCCCATTATGCGCAATGATATTCAATATTTTGAAATCTCTTTAGACTGTTTCAAACACAGGATGAAAAAAAAAGCTCATTGATAAGTTGTGATCATTTATGTAGTCTCTGTCACTCTTATAAGGATTATGTTATTCTTCGATTGTCCAATTTAATTTACAAAAAATTTAAATTTACATTCTTTTTTCTCAAAGCCCACTTGAACTAAAATTATAAAGTGGGTTCTCTATTGGATTTGTTACACCAAATCGTTATTTTCAAAACCTCGACACGTGTTTCGATCACCAAGTGATCATCTTCAAAGAGGAAGATTAAATCTTCCTCTTTGAAGATGTCGAGGTGTTAAAAATAACGATTTGGTGTTGGGAAAAAACTACAGTAATATTCATTGGAATATTATGTAAATAGAACCCGTCAAATAATTTATAATTTATATGAAGAGTTCATAAGAAATGGTGATGATTCAAAAACAATAAAATTTATCAACAATCAACCAACCATAGTAAACAAAAATATTACTTCACAACAAAAAACCGATAATGGACCCTTATATCCACCTCTTTACTGATATCATATACATGAAAGCCCTAAGTTTGCTGCATAAAATTGACCAAGTTCAAATAAGCATTTTATATTATCTCCAAAAATAATTCTAGTTAGTGAGGCTAGAATAACTAGTGAAATTGAAGATTCAGAGATCAAACTGGATGGTTATAGTCACATTCGATGTGATTCTACAAATCGGCAAACCGGGGATGTTGTGATTTATGTGAAGGATGGTATACAGTGTTCAACAAAGAAGACTTACATTTTAAAAGACAATTACTGGTGTAAGGTCATAAGAGTAAATTTTGGTGTGTGTCAATGGTTAGTGGGTTATCTTCATCATTCTCCATCTGGCTTGGATTCTATATTCATAGAAAGCCTGGAAAATATCTTTGATGATATCTTTGTCAATGATAAGCGTTGCATTCTTGTAGGAGATTTTAATTTAGATTTCTTGAATACTTAACAGTTTTTATGTGAAAAAAATCAAATCTATGTTTTTGCAATATGGAATTGATCAACTAGTACTGGATTCTACCAGAATTACTAATAACAGTGAGACTCTAATTGATTATGTACTAACTAATAATAATTGTGCAAACTGTTTTGTCCATCCAACTCCTAAAATAAGTGACCATTCATTGATATCTATTTGTCTCAAAAATAACAAACGAACTGAAAGCACTTCTATCAAAAGTTATAGAAACCTTAGTGAGCGAAATTTGGATAAAATAAAACTAGATTTAATTTCATGTAATTGGGATTTGAATTCAACGGATGTTAGTGTCATATATTTCAATTTACTTAATAACTCTCAATCAGTTATCGATAAAGTTGCACCAATTCAAGTCTGTCACTATAAAAATAACATTCCATGGTTTGACAACGAAATTCATATTAAAATAAAATAACGTGATCAGGATTTTATTAAAACTATTGGGGTGAATAGAAATGTCAAATGGAAAGAATCGAAGAAACAGAGAAAGAAAGTAGTAAATTTATTAAAAAAGAAAAAAGAACAATACTTCTTCGATAGAGTTGATATGTATAAAAATAACTCTCAACTGATGTGGAGAACATCAAAAAAGCTTATGAACATGAATTGCCAAAACTTTCCGAGCTGTATAGAATTTAACTTAATAAACCAGATGTATATTGTTAATAATAAAACTGAAATAGTAAACGAATTTAACTACTACTTCATTACTAGTATTCAGCAAATTGTTGATAGTATGTATAGATGATGTTCAAGATTGGAAATTCAATAATTATAATCTATATCCTTTTTCCAAGTTTCACATATCAACAATGAATGAATTACATCTAATTGTTAACTCCTTAGACAACAAAAACAATGTTCATGAGATCTTAAATTCCAAAATGCTCAAAGTCATTTTTGAAGCATGTGGACATATAATTTTAAATTTTGTAAATACTTCTCTTCAAACTTCCAAAACTCCAAATCCTTTAAAAGTTAGTACTATAGTTCCCATTCAAAAGGTCAACAATACAATCAAGGCCAGTGAATATAGACCTACAAATACATTACCACCAATAGAAAAAATTCTTGAACTAGCTGTTTATAAGCAGGTACTTGATCAAGTTGAAAAAAATGAAATTTTAATAAATAATCAATCTGGATTTCGTAAAAAATATTCATGTGAATCACTACAACTCACTTTACCTAAATTCAAAAAAGAAGTTGATAGCAATAAATTTGTAGTAGCTGTTTTTCTTGATCTGAAGAGGGCGTTTGAAACAATTGATCGTAATATTCTTTTAATGAAATTAAGAGGTTATGGCATTGATGGTGATATTTACCAATGGTTATCTGACTATTTATCCCATAGAAAGCAAAAAGTCAGAGTTCAAGATAATATCTCACAGGAATTGGATATACATATAGGTGTACCTCAGGGTAGAGTTTTAGAACCTCTGCTTTTTATCTTATACTTAAATGACATAAACTTGTTTATAAACGTTAATTTTATAAATTTATTTGCAGATGATACACTCTTGGCATGCTACGATACAAGCTTAGATAAAGCTATTGATAAAATGAATGCCGCATTAAAGGATATAAATGAGTACCTCATGGCAAATAAATTAAAACTGAATAAAATGAAAACTAAAGGAATGATTATTACAACAAAATATAAATGGAACAACCTTGATTTAAATGAAATAAATCTACAAATCGATAATGAAAACATTGAAATTGTAATGTTTTATATAATATTGTGTATTAGGATTACCTATTTCAATAAATATATTCTTCTTCTTCTATAAAAATATCATGCACCCGGTGTCCATTCTTCATGATATCCGCACCAGAATTCATGATAATTCTCTTGGCCTATAAAAACGTGAGAGTTTTCATGTCTTTGGCTATGAGAGAACAAAAAAACGTTTGTGCTGAGTGATATGCATATGGAGAAAAACAATCATTCCAATTGAAAGAGTTCTTGACTATCATCAAGTTCAACATGCCGAGCAATATTTAAGATAAGGACGGCGGAATTTATCTTGTTTCATATTGAATGAAAAAATAGGATGGCAAAAAGGATGTAGATAGGCCTTGATATATTTATAATCGTTCCTTCAGTCTATTGTGTGTGTTGCAGTTGAATGCTTTGTTGGTGATAAGGGTAGCTTTTTGACATTGAAACGGATACAGTCACAAAAATGGAATGGTAAGTTTTCTCATTCATACGAATAGAAGGGATGACTATAGAGTAGAATTGGTTCACAAACTGACATATAAAACTTTAATTAAATTATTATGAATTGAAATGAATTTCACAAGATGAAAGAATGGATAATGGTGAATATGTGGTATCAGTATTGTTCGACTTAACAAGGGCATTTGATACAGTCAAAAGGTCTTTCGTCTCAGAAAAACTAGAAAAGTTGGGTATTCGTGGCTGCCTTAATGATTGGTTTTTCTCTTTCCTCGAAAACCGAAAGAGTACAATGAAAATTGATTATGTTTTTTCAAATGAATTTGATATGGATCTTAGAACCCCTCAAGGCAGTGTCCTTGGTCCATTAATTTTTCTCATATTTATTAATGACCTTCCTAAATATCAAGCTGAGGCAAAATTTCCCATGTATGCAGACGACACATGCACAATAACATCAGATCTCTCAAAACTCGCATTTTCAGAAAAACTTACCAGAACACTGAACCAATTCAAGGATTGGTGCTATTGTATTAGATTAATGTTGAATGTTTCGAAAACGGTTTGCATTGAATACCATACAGCCCAAAAATTACCATCAGATTGCTCAATATTATTAAATAACACTTTAATCAGTACATCGAAGTCCGCAAAATTTCTCGGAACCATATTCGACTGTAATCTATCCTGGGAGGCACAAATTAGTAGTGTCTGTAAAAACATCAACCAGTGCTAGATAGGGATACTTTATTGAGTGTCTATTATTCATATGCTTACTCTGCAAGGGCGTGATAATCAAAGGGTGTTTGTATTACAAAAAAGAATATTGCGATTGATTTTTGACCCACCTTATCAAACCTCACGTCGCGATGTATACAAAAACTGTCACTTCTATTTACTTATACAAATTACTGAGCCAAACCTACCGAAACCGAAATAAACTGCCAAAAAATTTTGATATTCACAACCACAACACAAGGCATAAAAACGACTTGTTGCAAAAAAATTGAACCACACTTTCCACAAAAATGTACCTCTGATGATTGGAGCGTCTTCCTTCAATGTGCTTCCTGATAATATAAATAAAATAATGAAACTTTTAAAACAAGCCTTCATTTAAGTGCCCTAAAAAGATCGAAATGAAATTTTAAATCACATAAACCACGTTCATTTATGACTTTACAGAATTGAAATTATAACAAAAGCTTGTCGCGATGCCTAGAAAAAATCTCTACATATTCAGTCTACATTAAATCATCTGTCAGAATGTTTCTTAATTTAAATTTCATATGACTGAATTTGTAAAGATTTCTTCTAGGCATCGCGACAAGCTTTTATTATAATTTCATTTCTGTAAAGTCATAAATGAACGTGGTTTATGTGATTTAAAATTTTATTTTGATCTTTTTAGGGCACTTAAATAAAAGCTTGTTTTAAAAGTTTTTTATCATTATTAGGTGCCTACCTAATTACAAAATTTCAATTACAAATTGAAATTATCGCGACAAGCTTTTATTATAATTTCAATTCTGTAAAGTCATAAATGAATGTGGTTAATGTGATTTAAAATTTTATTTTGATCTTTTTAGGGCACTTAAATAAAAGCTTGTTTTAAAAGTTTTTTATCATTATTTTATTTTATATTTTTTAGTTTCAATCAATAGTTATCGATCAATACGAAAGTTCATCTATAGGTAAAACGAAGAGTATTTCAACAGAAAAACTTAAGGAACGGGGAAAACTATTATTAGGATAAACTATATTCTTTAGAAGTAGGTAGGTACCTACTCCTCCGACATACCTTATAGAAGAATTGGCAACATGCTTTTGAGGTGTTGAATGAATAAGCTGAGCAGGAAAACTTGGAGGATGAGTTGGGGATGCCATCATATAATAATAGAAATTATATTGCCCTGTTTCCGGAAAGCACAAATGTATGACACGGACATTCCATCAGTCCGTATCCACTTCGGCAAAGATAGGATCCACGTCATTCAACCGAAATCTGTGCAATTTCCAGCTAAATTCAGCCATGGTACAGCTGAACGTAGAATGTTGCCAATTGTTTCATACTGGGCTTGTACAGTTCACAAAATGCAGGGTAGTCCGGTTGACCACGCTGTTGTATAATAGGGTTCAAAGTTGTTCCCTGCCGGCCAACCATACGTGGCTTTAAGTAGGGTCACAGAAATAGAAGACCTCCTGATAGAAGAATTAGACTGTTCGAAATTAACTAAGACACGGCCATGTAATAATGACGCCATCAATGAAATGAATAGACTAAGAAATATAACAAGCTAATTCTTCTTTAAAGTATGCCGGAGGAGTAGGTACCTACCTACTTCTATAGAATATAGTTTGTCCTAATAATAGTTTTCCCGTTCCCTAAGTTTTTCTGTTGAAGGACTTTCCTTTTTATAGATGGACTTTCATATTGATCATATATTTTTTATTGAAGCCAACCCTGGATGTGGCATCTATTTCATTTCATTTGAATTTTCTTCATAAAATTCTAAGGCTACGACGTTGTCTTTTCTCATGACACGATAAACATTAAATTGACAGGAATCTTGAAAATTTACTTCTCTAAATGGATGTACATTTGTGTCGCTCCAATAATGCGAATTTCGTGGATTATAAATTTCAGACAATATTATCCAAAAAAAAACATTTTCTTGAGATCGAAGTAAAGTGAATTCACAGAATTCTACTCTTCGTGAAAAGTCTGTATCTTTAAGATGTTGAACTTTCTAAAAGACATATTGATGAAACTTGTGGTTTCGTAAAATTCTTAATATTGATGCCTGCCGTCATTACCAACTGACAGAATTTAGAAACCGTATAGTAAGTATTTTGTAGATTGAAAAATATTAAATTGCAAATATTTCAAAAACTACTAATTTTCGGAATAATTATCCTCATACAAAGTTACCCTTATTTTCAATGTTTAATACGAGTAAATCATAAAAATGAAGGAGTCCATTTGAAAAAAGTCTCATTAGACGGTTTATTGAATTTCATTTAAATTCTTTTTTTTGGCCACCCTGTAATAATAATGTAATTTTGTTCCCCTCTACAAGGAAACCGACCAAAACATAGTGATAAAGGTTTCCTTATAGGTAAAATTGATAATTATTGTAGGGTCTGCAAACATCATTTTTGGCATAAAAAATCAAATATGTCAAAAACGATTAGACTTAAATATACACAAGAAGTATTTAGATTCTGATATGAAATCCAAAATGTAATAATGTATAGGATATTCCATTTAAAATAAAGAAATTGACAACTACTTCTGGTATAACTGAATGTTTTACCCTTTTGAAAATATTTTTAGCCTGGTTGCCCCCATCGACTTTAGTATATACATATATACACACTAGTTGATGAGGAAATTTAATGAAGGAAACGTCGCATTGCAAATTGGTTTATATCAGACTATAACAAATATGAAACAGTAATGAAAGTTCCTCAGCATTTTTTTAAATCATTCGAAATGGAAGCGGTAGAGCCAAAAAACCTAGTTGTAATCAAAACATATACCTGTTTCTTGACTAATAATGGGCATTGTACCTACCTTTCAAAAATTCATTGTAATTGTTTGAAAATGTCGTTATTCGATGAAACTGCAGTAACATTAGTTACAAATTAAAATGGTAAAAAAACATAAATATCAAATATCAGTCTTTAGTTTTGAAGAAAATAAATCCATATCGGTGCCACATAATCGCCCTGGTGAAATAAATAATAAAAATCAATCGTTTCATAAAAAAAACTTTCGAAATATTGAAAATATATCCTCACGGTGCTTGGCGTGTGTCTGAAAAAAGTAAATTATGAATAGACAGCTTTAGTGTTCATATATTCGAAGGTAGTTGTTTCAGATGAAATTTTTCTTTCAGTGATAATCTGAAAAAACTGTTGTGCAGAGAACGGCAGAGCCGTACTCTTACCATCTGAGCTGACCACTTACCATACAAAATAATCGGCTTCGTTAAGAAGCTGGGTTTATTTGGTCGAGTGTGAATAGGTGTGAGCCACAATAAACCCTTGCGGGTTGCGGTGAAATTCTAATAGACCAACTCATTTTGGACCTAACCTAACCTAAACTGTAAGAACCCGTTGATCCTTAGACCGCATGATTTTTGGGGATTAATCTGATCAAAAGAAAAACAAATTCCGATGATATTTCTAAATCGGAAACTGAGACATTCTGCAAGAAATCAAAGTAACACGTTCCAGTTAGTAGTATAGATTATATTAATTTTTTTAAGGACTTCAGATAAAGTTTAACTATTATGTCATGAATATTACTGGAGTTTTTTCCCAACACCAAATCGTTATTTTTTTAACACCTCGACACGTGTTTCGATCACCAAGTGATCATCTTCAAAGAGGAAGAATAAAACTAGAAACTAATGCGAAGCTAACCCTATTTATGCTATATAGGTATCCCATACAGGTGAACCATCCAGGCGTACCACCCATACAGGTATACCAACCTAAATTAATTTTACAATTTTGCCTTATCTATTATTTTACAATATATGTTTATATAAAACAATTTTCAGCTATATAAAAATTAAAATCTTTCCAAAGTTCCTCGTATATTGGTGGTATGGAACTGAGATGTATTTATCTTGGTTTTTGTCCTTTCTGAAAGTCGAGATTTCGTTCATTCTTAACCTAAACTTCTTCCTTATCATGTCATCTACAATACCCCTCGAGAAACCGTTAGTGGCTGCTATTTCCTGTATTGTACATCTTTCTTTTGTGAACCTGTCATGTGTTAGAGGGAAAGTCAAAAGACGATGCACTAAAAAATTCAACCCAGCACGTTTGTGCTGTCCACAGTGATGTGAACTGTCAGGAATATACATGTAGGTGCTTGTTTCTTTTCTAAATATATCGTATTCTAACCCTCCATATTGGCTCCTCATTACCAAAACGCCAAGAAATGGTAGGTAGTTGTCCCTTATTTTCTAACTCATATGTGAATTTTATTGATGGAC